CACACAGCAGCAATAGTGCTTGATCTTCATCATCGATCTTCACATCAATATTTTCAAGATCAAGAATCAGCTTGTTGAACATATCCAACTGCTCAGCCAACACTTTGTCTTCACTCATCTTGAATGAATATAAAGCTTGCTTCAGGTATAGTCGATTCACCAGAGATTTGGTCATGTACAAACTTTCAAGTTTCACCCATAATCCTGATGCTGTAGTCTCCTTTGATACCTGTCGAAGAACCTTATCACCAAGGCTCAATAATATTGCGCTGTGGGCTTTCTCGATCATGCCCGTCTTTTCTTTTGCCGTTAACGCAGCGTCCATGGCTGCCTCACCCTTCAACGCTTCCAAACAACCCTGCTGAACCAATAGGGCTTTCATCTTCAAGCGCCACAGACCGAAGTCGTTCACTCCGGTGAACTTTTCAATCTCATACTTTGTTGAAGGCATCTTCTCCACGCTCACCGCACCAATTTGTTGTGAATAGGATGCCTTTAAACAAAGTATAAACAGTTTCTTATTGATCAAGAAACACACAAGGGTTAGGGTTAACAAAGAAGACAAGGTAAAATAACAAGGAACAACAAGGATTGGTTATTAAACTGCTATTCTTTCCTTTCTCTTAGAACAAGATTACAAGTATACAAGAATAACAAAATAACCTCTCTCCCTTGAAATTAGGATTTTATCTTCCTATTTTTCATTATGCCAAGATTTAGAAACTAGCATCCTATTTATAATAAAATAGGACACTAACATAATGGATTTTTTTAACAATTACCCATTACAAGCTAACTTAGGGTAAAAGCTAACTTAAAGAATTGAGCTTACAAGCAAGACCCAATTCAACATGCTAACAACCCTAGCAATATTTACTCATGCTAACAACCTTAGCAATATTTACTCATGCTAACAACCTTAGCAATATTTACTCATGCTAATAACCTTAGCAATATTTACTCATGCATGTTAGAACAAACTTCGGCTACAACACGCATTACTTGCGAACAGACTTCGACCACACTAGAGTTCGATCCAATGTCTCACAAATCTCCACCTTGGATCTAACTCTATAACATCAAGAAACTAGCTTTCTTCATGCAGATTTATTAACTGCATACAGTGGAAAAACTTGCAACTGGGCAATGTCTTGGTGATCATATCAGCAGCATTATGATCTGTCGAAACTTTCAGCACTTGGACTTCTCCACGCTCGATTACCACTCTGATGAAATGCAGACTCACATCAATGTGCTTGGTTCGCTCATGATAGGCTGAATTCTTCGACAGGTGTATTGCACTTTGACTATCACATTTAACAGTGATAACTCGACCTTGAAGTTTTAGCTCCTTTGCAAAACCTTCAAGCCACAATGTTTCCTTCACAGCTTCAGTTAGGGCAATATACTCCGCTTCAGTGGTTGATAGGGCAACGACCTTCTGAAGTGTTGCTTTCCAACTGATTGCTGTCCCAAACATAGTGAACACATATCCGGAGATAGATTTTCTAGAATCCATACAACCTGCATAATCAGAGTCGACATATCCTTCGATTACTGCTTTACTATCTTCACCCAAGGATCCACCATAAATTAGGACTCTATTCAGAGACCCATTTATGTACCTTAAAATCCACTTCAATGCTTGCCAGTGAGCCTTTCCAGGATTCGCCATGTACCTGCTTACAAGACTTACTGCATATGCTATGTCGGGTCTAGTACAGACCATAGCATACATCAAAGACCAATTTGTCTTCTTTTGATTCCTCATAACTTCCTTATAGTCTCTAGGTTCTTCGTCTAGAACCTCACTTGCAGAGATTAAGGCATAAGCTATAAGATTTGCATACCCAAGTCTCTGAGGTGGCTTGATGACACTCCTCGACCTGTCTCTTGCTAGCAGATAGTCATTATCAGTCTCCTCATCTTCGACAACATCTTCTGTGTCTTCTTCGACTTCATCTGGGGTAAGCAATTCAGCATCAACATGCTTCACCTCAACAGGAATCGCTCCCTGTTCCAGCTCTTCGTCAGCATCATCAGTTTTCTTGAAAGTCATCTCTGCTTCGTTGAAAACTACATCTCGACTGGTGATACACCTCCTGTGACCTGGCTCTAGGCACCATAGCCTATAAGCTTTGACTCCTTCAGGGTATCCCATGAACATGCATTTCAGAGCTCTAGGTTCGACCTTGTCTTGCCTAATATGAGCATAGGCCACACAGCCAAATACTCTCAGTCTGTCGAGACTAGGTGGATGTTCCGACCAAACTTCTTCAGGTGTCTTCATTCCCAAGGCAGTCGAGGGACATCTATTTATCAGGTAAGCTGTTGTCGAAACAGCTTCCGCCCAAAACACCTTCTTCAATCCAGCACTAACCAACATGCATCTAACCCTTTCAAGGATTGTTCGATTGAATCTCTCAGCTAAGCCATTTTGTTGAAGAGTACCTGCTACAGTCTTATGCCTTGCAATCCCCAACACAGTAACTGTCGAAAGCTTCGTTGCAGAATTCAAGGCCATTGTCGGTTCTCAACCTCTTAACCTTTCTGCCAGTCTGAGTTTCGACTAGAATCTTCCAACTTTTGAAATTCTCAAAAGTTTCATCCTTCGTCTTCTGAATGAATACCCATAGTTTTCTGGAATAGTCATCAACGATGGATAGAAAGTACCTTGCACCTGAGTGTGAAGGATTCCTTGCAGGCCCCCAAAGATTAGCATGAATGTAATCCAGGGATCCATTGTTCTTTGATTGCCTTTGTTAAACTTTGCCCTACAGGATTTACCAACTACACAAGATTCACAAAATTCCAACTTTTCAACTTTGTCACCTCCTAGCAGGTTCTGCTTCCCCAATTCGACCAGGCCTCTTTCGCTGACATGGCCCAATCTCATGTGCCATAATTCTGTCTTCGACATAGATTTCGTGGATGCAACATTTGTCGAACCACTTACAACCTCAGCCTCAAGGGTATACAAGCCTTGTTTCTTCACGCCTCTCAAGACTTCCTTCGACCCCTTCATGACTCTTAGGATACTTTTCTCTCCTTGAAAAACATATCCTTTTCTGTCGAATTCACCAAGAGAAATCAAATTTCTCTTCAAGTCAGGTACGTACCTGACTTCAGTCAATAACCTTATTGACTCATCATGGAGCTTGAATCTCACAGATCCAATACCTGCAATTTTGCAAGATTTGTTGTTTCCTAACAGCACAGATCCACCATCTTGATCACATAGCTCCTCGAACAATTCTCTGTTTGGAGTCATGTGCCAAGTGCAACCTGAATCCATAATCCACTCTTTCCTCGAGTCGCCACTTGAAACCACAAGAACATCAGATGAGTCGAAGTCATCTTGAACAATGGTTGCATTGCCATTACCTCCATGATCTTTCAGGCGTTCAGGGCATAGCTTTCTTATGTGACCCTCCTTCTTACAGTGGTAACATCGAATACTAGATGTTTCGCCACTATAAGACTTCTGTTGACTTTTACCTTTTTTCTTGTCGAACTTACCATCCTTTCGCAAGAATTTTTCCTTAACAGCCAAACCTTCGCCCACCGTCGAAGGTTTATGCTCCTTTCGTTCGTTCAAGTCCTTAGAATACAAGGCTGATTGAACTTCTTCAAAGGTCAGGGACTCCCTTCCATACAAGAGAGTTTCTTTGAAGTGAGCATGTGTTCTGGGCAAAGCACACAGCAGCAATAGTGCTTGATCTTCATCATCGATCTTCACATCAATATTTTTAAGATCAAGAATCAGCTTGTTGAACATATCCAACTACTCAGCCAACACTTTGTCTTCACTCATCTTGAATGAATATAAAGCTTGCTTCAGGTATAGTCGATTCACCAGAGATTTGGTCATGTACAAACTTTCAAGTTTCACCCATAATCCTGATGCTGTAGTCTCCTTTGATACCTGTCGAAGAACCTTATCACCAAGGCTCAATAATATTGCGCTGTGGGCTTTCTCGATCACGCCCGTCTTTTCTTTTGCCGTTAACGCAGCGTCCATGGCTGCCTCACCCTTCAACGCTTCCAAACAACCCTGCTGAACCAATAGGGCTTTCATCTTCAAGCGCCACAGACCGAAGTCGTTCACTCCGGTGAACTTTTCAATCTCATACTTTGTTGAAGGCATCTTCTCCACGCTCACCGCATCAATTTGTTGTGAATAGGATGCCTTTAAACAAAGTATAAACAGTTTCTTATTGATCAAGAAACACACAAGGGTTAGGGTTAACAAAGAAGACAAGGTAAAATAACAAGGAACAACAAGGATTGGTTATTAAACTGCTATTCTTTCTTTTCTCTTAGAACAAGATTACAAGTATACAAGAATAACAAAATAACCTCTCTCCCTTGAAATTAGGATTTTATCTTCCTATTTTTCCTTATGCCAAGATTTAGAAACTAACATCCTATTTATAATAAAATAGGACACTAACATAATGGGTTTTTTTAACAATTACCCATTACAAGCTAACTTAGGGTAAAAGCTAACTTAAACAATTGAGCTTACAAGCAAGACCCAATTCAACATGCTAACAACCTTAGCAATATTTACTCATGCTAACAACCTTAGCAATATTTACTCATGCTATACATATGTATATATATAAATATATATATATACATATCATATATATATATATATATATATATATATATATATATATATATATATATATATATACGTATACGTGTACGTATACGTGTGTATATATATATATATATATATATATATATATATATATATATATATATATATATATATATATATATATATATTTATAAATAAGGAACTATAAAAGCTACTATAAAACTGCGTTTAAAAACAGACAAATGAACCCTATATTGATTTTGTTTTTTCCCTTGTTTGCTTTCTAATTTATTCTTTTGTTTAGAAGGATTTCATATCCTACTTTCTCCTTGTACATGTCATTCTCTTCATCTCAATAAGTTATTTCTTTATTCTGAAAAGAAAAACTTACATATCACCAGGAGGCCACGGCTGACCCCATGTCCAAACATGTCCTTCACGCGTAAGTACCACCGAATGAGTACCTCCAGCAGCAACCTACACCATAAGCAATTAGGAAAATATCAAACAGCTATATAGAAAAGTCGTTCATGATATTGAAAATAGATATAATTTGTGATATAATGGCTGAACAAAATAAAAAATAAAATAAAGTAAAATAGTAAAAACAAATTCAATTTATTGAGCCAGTCTATACAGGTTAGGGTGGTAGCAACACCAATTATGAATCTATGATCATGTCATACAGAAGCAACACCTAAAGAATAAACTGATAAGAACAAGTAAAACTTCCGTGAGCCACAAAACTAATTCTTTGAACTCTAATATACAGGAAACTGGAAAGGAGGATCAAAGTTAATCCTTTTACTGAATAATTCAGGAAGGATTGAAGAGAATGGCTAATGGTAAGGCCGGTGAAGTCAATACTATACCAATTGTGTTACGGAAGGGCTTAGGATAGAAATGTATAAGATAGTTCATAAAGTTGTCTAACGATTATGAGGTTTAAAACATGTTGAATGGAAGGAGAAGTATTCTTACCTATAAGAACAAATGTGGCATATAAAACTGCACAAACTATAGAGTGATTAAACTCATGTGCGTGTTGTGAAGCTTTGAGAGAGTAGTTAAGTGGAGATTGAGACAAAAAACTCAATATCACAGAAAATATATTTGACTTTCTGTCAGGGAGATTGATCGTGGAAATGTTATTATTATTATGAAGACTGATGGAGAGATATTGGAGGTATAGAAAAGACTACACATAGTTTTCATTGACTTGAAAAATACATATGATAAAGTACTTCACGCATAGTTATCAAATTGAGATTCAAAATTTTATATTAGAATAACAATTTTCTGAATTGTATTTCGAATCTTTTTACAATGGGTAGGGTAAGATACAATACCAATAAAAGTATGACATCTTTAAGAAAAAAAACAGGTGAAATGGAAAAGCTAGAAATTGATATATCTCATGAACTTTGAAATAAGTCAAGATTCAAGTCATGAATCAAATGACAAAAAAAAGTTCAATTTCTAGACTAATGTTTCACTCTCAACAAAGCGAGAATATCTCAAATATTAAAAATAGATGAAGAATTTCAAAGGAATTCTGGTAACATGAAAAGAATGATGAAATTAAGATATGTAATGGCATTGGAATACATAAATTACCTGTCGAACAACAAGCTTGGGAGCACAAGGTTGAGGGATCACTATATCTCTCCTCAAAGGTCTACCATTGTCATCCTTGCGCTCAGGTTCTTCACCACATTGTCCATATTCATTTCCACCTGGCATCAATAATATTTGCCCTTAGCATTCTGATAATATACGCATAAAAATAAATTATCGCGCTTTCTGATTTTTGAAGAGCATTCACATGCATATTCTTCAAATATTTTTTTCAATATAAAATACTAGAAGTTCTCTGATGCTCATTCCAACTTTTCTAAAGTAAAACATCTATAATTTACCTATGACATATGTATATGTGTAATGCAAACAATTTTGGTCCTGTTTGAGCATAAGCACTTGTCAAACTATTCGAATCGATTTTGTCTGGTCTTTTGGCTTTTCTTTTTTGCGTGGCTTTCTTCCTGCCTCTTTTCAACCCTTGTTTCGGTCAGTTTGTTATTGGTTCTTCCTGGTTTTTGTCTCGAGTGGTCTTTTCTTTTCTCCTAATGTGTTATCTGGTGGCAGTTTCTTGGTGCTGGAACATGAATTGCTTTATGTAGGTTGCTTGCTTTTGGTTCCTTCTTGCAGCAAGTTTTTCCTCAGACTTAGTTGGTTATTGGCTTATTTTTCCCCTCACTTTGTCTTTTGGAAAACGGGTGTTTACATCCACGGTGTGTTGGCTTGAGACTTAGGTGACCTTGGGGTTGGGGGTACTGTGTTGGTTTTGTTTGACTTCTGCCTAAGCTCCTTAGGGGCATTCCTTTTTTACTGCATCGCCATCCTTGGGCCTCCAATTCTGCAGATGATTGGTGTGGTTTAGAGGGGCTGCTCTCGCTTAGTTTTTTAGCTACGTTGTTTTGGATTGTATAGGTGGTTCTTTAGAATAGTGTTGTGAAAATAGTTTATAGCTTGTATGAAAACCGTTGGACTTTATTTTATCTTTTGTTATAGAAATAGCTTATAAATAATGACTTATATGATAAGCACTAAATTAAGTTGTTTATCCAAACAATGCCTTTGTCTAAAAGGTCATCCTAATGATGAGAGGACAAATTCATTAAAAGAGGGCATGCCATAGTTGAAGCAGAAAATGAGAATCGCATTGCCACTGTACAGGATCATGTCACTTCTAAGAATAAATTGAAAAACACATCTCGCTGTATTGACACTGAAACTGAAAGAAGCAAAATATATAAACAAACAAAAAAGATGATGGTGTTGTGTGAAATGAATACCCCAAGCATAAGCTCTTCCGTGATCGTCAACAGCCAAACAGTGCCAGCCACCAATAGCCGCCTAACATCATTTCAAAAATGCAACCATAACCACTACTCAATAATCAATTAACATGACAGATTTGACTCTTTTAAAGTGAACAATTCAGTTTAAGGCACATTGCCAAAATTCCGCCATATAAACTTGGCATTGAAACCAATGGGTGGCAGTTGAAAAATTGCCGATGGCATCTAGCACAAAATCTGCCATGTTGTTCCACCAAGGCCACTACTTAACAACAATGCTTTAGACAATAAAAAGCAAGTAACTCTACAGTTGATGAGAAAAATCAATGTTGATATTTCTAACATGCATAATTTGTTTTATCAATAAGCATGTAATGCCACCAATAGTTGGATTTCTCATAACCAACTGAGATTTACTACTATGCCTTCTAAAATGAATTATTCAGGTAATAGTGTGATCAAATTCTCACATAACACCAAAGGAAAAAACAAGAGTAAATCAACATTTCAATCTTTGAAATTGTAAAGGTCGGGCAATTCAATCCTTCAAATTTATCAAAAATAAATCAGACCCTTTAACTTAAGAACATCAATCAGCTTAGTCCCTTGGTCAAAATATCTCTTTAGTATACAAAATTTATCAAAAGCAATGAAACACTTGCATATTAACTTAAATAGTCTCTTCCAGCATCAAGACAAGCAAAGATCCTTCAAAATTGTACCGCTAAATTTGCAAAGAGACTAAACTAATTGGGACTCGACTTAAAGGACTAAACTTATATTTTGATAATTTAAGGAAATAAATTGACCCGTCCTTACAATCTGAAGAACAGAAAATGATGATTTACTCATTAAACAATAACATAACAAAGATAGTAAAAATAAAAGTACCTGAACAATATGAACATGCGAGAGTGCTTTGACTTGGCTGGGAATGTTTTCAGTTTTGGTCTCCGCCGGGTGTCCAAGCGTCCCTCTTTGATTCCAACCCCATGTAAACAACTACAACAAGCAATAACAATAAGAGAGAGAATTAAAAGAAAAAACAAATAAAGGGTTAAATTAGATATGATTATAGTCCATATACAATTTTGGATTCGCTCAACTTTAATCCTATAAAAAATTTTAACAATTTTAGTCTTCACCTTTTATAAAAACAGTACGTAAGACTAAAAGCAACCGGTATAGAACTAATGTTTTGTTAGGAGAAACAACTTAACTAACTGCTTATAAGCGCTTACAGAATATGTGTATGTTTGGAATGGTGTTTACAGCAACAAAACTGCATCTCAATGTTGTTTTAACAGGAAAATCCAGATGCTGGCAATTGCAACTTTCAATCCAGATGTGCGTTTTTTGAGTTTTAAAAGCTAAAGCAAACACACGCTAAGTGTTTGTTATATAAAGTGCTTAAGTATAAGCTATTTTTATAGTAAAAGATAAATAAAGTCATATAGTTTTTAAGCCTGTTTGGATTAGGTTATTTGAACTTATCTACAGGCATAAGCACTTGTGAGACTGTATAGGAAAGCTTATAGAAACAGCTTAGGACATGTTGATACACTGTTTTCAACTTATATTATAAACTCTACAAGAAAGCTTATGAAAACCACTTATACCTCATTACTTTATTTTATCTTTCGTTATAGAAATTGCTTAGCCATAAGTACTTATATCATAAGCATCTACGCTATGAATCTTTTTAATTAAGCTGATCATTCAAATCAGGTGTTCATAATTGTATCCTGAAGCACTGACACCAGAAACACTACACCGACATGACGAGAGACACGGGTAGTAATAATTTGAGAAAGTGAATAAATTAAACCACACGCTACCATGCAAAAGTTAAAAACAGCTAATGAAAATTTCAAAATTTGTTTTCAGATGAGTTAAAGTAAAAAAGAAATAGAAAAAAAAAGGAAAAGGAAAAGTGAAAGGTTTGCGTACCTTGCCATCATGAGAAATGGCGAGTGAGTTTCTGCTACCGGCGACAACAGAGCGGAGACGTTGAGAAGGGAGAGCTTTGACGGCACAAACCCACTCCTTATCTTCGTTGGTGCCGATACCTAATTGGCCATCTTCACCTGAGCCCCTGAAAAAAAAGGGATTTTGAAGAGTGAGAGAGAACAAGAACAAGAAGAAGATGAAGAAGAGAGAAAAAAAAGGGATTTTGAAGAGTGAGAGAGAACAAGAACAAGAAGAAGATGAAGAAGAGAGAGAAAGAGAAAGAGGGAGTGTTACCAGGCAATGATGTGGGAATTGGAATCCATGAATGAGAGAGAAAAGGTTGAATTGAAGAGAAAAGGTTGAATTGAAGAGAAAAGGTTGAGTTGTGTGTTGAGTTTGTATTGAGAATGTTTGAAAACAAGATACAGATACTCCAAAACCTACACTATCTTTTTCCTCCTTTTATAAATTAATAATAAATACCATCATTATTGGAATGGAATTTTAAAAGTGATTGCTAATTTTAATACCAATTTTTATTTAAACTTTTTATTATTAATAGTATACTGTTAAATAAGGTTTTGGCCTTGTAAAAAAATTTGTTTTTAGTTCCATTAAAAAGAATTTTAAAAAAAAACAGTTTCTTCAAAAAATTTCGTCTAAACAATTAGTTCATAATATCAAATGTCACTGACAGATATTTGTGTGCATTGTCACGTAAAACTTTTTTAATGATGAAGCATATGCGTGAGAGTATCAGTGTGGTAAAAGACATGACGTAGATGTCACGTGACAATTTCTTCTATTTTTTATTTTTTATATTGATAAATCCATAATTTATAGTTAATTTGTAACTAATTTCAAACTAATTCTTAGCTAATTCGTATGAACTAAACTTTATTTTTTCTCTGTAAATAACTTGGGTGTAATTAAGTTACACAATAAATGTAAAATATTGGATAAGATAGAAGACTAATTGACAGGATATGGGAGTGTTTACTCACTTAGTTTTCCTCTTCTAGCTGGTTTTAATGAAACCTTCATGCCTACTTTTGAACCTAGCACGTCACAAGATGCATATCCTTTGTCGCTCAACCCCCTGTGTTCGATGTAGAGCAGGTTCTAGAAAGAGAGTTATCTTTTACACGCACGGTTAAAGAATCTGGAGTGGTTTATCTTCTTGGTCATGAAGATATAAGAGCTAGAAAAAAGTCATGGTTTATGAAAAAACTAGTTATAAACTATTTTTATGTCTTTCTTAAAAAGAATTGCAGAAGGGGGATCACAAATTTAAGTATACCGCATTCACATCTAATGCAGGTTGGAATGACTTACATGGTTTCACACTTTGGCCATCAATTTCGCAATCCAATAAAAGTTATAAAACAAGTGTCAGGTAAATCGAAATATTCACATCTTGAAAAGTCTCATTTTCGAGCGTGTTAAATTTGATCGTCATTATTTGAATCCCCATATTGAATATCTTTACTGCTCCACCTCTGCAAATTGTTTCAACTTTTCTTATGAGTCAGAGCATGCACTGCACATATATGGAATTGAAAATTGAAATAGATTGATAATAGAAATAGATAGATATATGTAGAATTTGAACAAAAGAATGATATATGTAAAATTATGTTTATGAAAAGAAAAAAATGCAAATGGTTGTGTACACATTTTGTGGACATACAAAATCCCCTATTTCAATATGGTAAACAGATTTTTATACATGAGTACTTTATCTAAGATATGTATTTTTTTTCATTGAAACTAATTATTTGCTTGATTTCTTTTGAATAGGCACTTTCTTAATTCAAATTTATGAGTTTCTATTTTCTTTTTTAAACATTACATTATGCTTTTGATGCATTATAAGTGATAAGAAATTTATTGGTTAGGTGAGATATTGTGTATATGAAATCACAACCTCTTCCTCCAGATAACTAACAAATCTATGCGTTATTTTCGCCTTTTACACCTCGTCTTGCTGCTCCGAAAGATCTCTCACTTGGTTTCAATGTTGGTTTTTTCCGAGCTTCATTTAGGTGGTAAAAGTGGAAATAATGGAGGTGCAAATAGAAATGTTATTCTATCTTCTTCACCAATGTTAGATCCTTCTCATGATGTTTATGCAGCAGCTTCAAGTGGAGGTTTACTTGAAAATTCAGGTTATGATGGTAATCAAATAAATTGAATTCTCTTAATGTTAATTTTTCCAAGTAAAAGAAAAGTATTTATATTTATACTTGCAGAAGATTTATGATATTTGTAGTAATAATCTTGGAGGGGTGGGAAAATGCATGTGCCAAAAATTCTTTTCTAGATGGCCAGTGCAAGACACATGTGCATAATGAAGTTCTGGTTATACTAATTAGCTAAAAATTAGCTACGAATTATCTAAAAATTTTGGGTTTATGAATATATAAAAAATGGAAGAAATAGCCATGTGGTATCTACGTTAGCTTTGTGACAAAGGTTTCAGAATCAACTTCACTAAAGATGAATGTTTGATAGAAAATGAAGTCACTTTTGAGGTAATGTTAAAAGGTAATAGAATTAAAAATATTTATGATTTCCCTTTATAACATGTCTTTGAAGGTTAAGTGTCTTATGGCGAACAACAATGACTCTTGGTTATGGCACAAAAGATTTGCTCACATTCATATGGAGCATTTGAACAAACTGATCAAATATGACTTAGTTGTTGGTCTTCTAAAGATCAAATTCATCAAAGATAGATTGTGTGGCGCATGCCAAAAAGGGAAACAGACCAAATCAACTTTCATATCCAAGAATGTGGTGTCCATAATAAGGCCACTACAATTGTTACACATGGATCTCTTCGGACCATCAAGAACAAAAAGTTTTTGAGGTAATGTTTATGCATTAGTAATTGTTGATGACTTCTCTAGATATACATGGACTTTCTTCTTAGTGCAGAAAAGTGAAGCTTTCAAGGCATTCAAGAAGTATGCAAAACAAATTCAGAATGAGAAGTTACTTTCAATTGTCTCCATTAGAAGTGACCATGGTGGAGAATTCCAGAACGCTTTATTTGAAGAACTTTGCAAAGAAAATGGGATCTCACACAACTTCATCGCACCAAGAAATCCATAACAAAATGGTGTCGTAGAAAGAAAGAATAGGTCGTTAGTAGAAGTTGCAAGAGCTATGCTTAGCGATTTAAAACCTTCCTAAATATTTTTGGACATATGCGGTAAGCACGGCGTGTTTTGTAAGTAATCATGTCAACATCAGACCAATTCTCAAGAAAATCTCCTATGAACTCTTCAAAGGGAGAAAACCGAACATATCATTCTTTCACATCTTTGGGTGTAGGCGCTTTGTATTGAACAATGACAAAAATAATCTCGGTAAGCTTGACGAGAAATCCGATGAAGGTTTTTTTCTCGGCTATTCTCTCTCTAGTAAGGCATTTAGAATCTTCAACAAAAGATATTTAACTATTGAAGAATCTATGCATGTTTCTTTTGATGAATCTAACCCCTCCAAGGAGGATGATATTATTGTTGATGATGATGATATAGTAGAAACCTCTCAAGATGATACTCTTAATAGTGTTGCAAATGATCAACCAAAACAACAAGAGGATTCACAACAAAATGAAGAACACAATGATCTACCTAAAGAATGGAGAACTCATAGAGATCACTCAATCGATAAAGTCATTGGTGATATCATTCAAGGTGTTGCAACAAGATTAAATCTCAAGGATGCTTGTCTGAACATGGCATTTGTTTCGCAAATTGAACCATCCAAAATCGATGAAGCCTTAGGCGATGATTAGTGGATAATAGCTTTTCAAGAATAACTAAACCTGTTTGAAAGAAATTAAGTTTGGAATCTTGTCCCTAGGCCAAACAACAAGTATATCATTGGAACAAGATGGGTCTTCAAGAACAAACTTGATGAAAATGGAATTATAGTTCGGAATAAAGCAAGATTGGTCGCACAAGGATACAACCAAGAATAAGCAATCGATTTTGACGAAACATTCGCTCCGATTGCAAGGTTAGAAGTAATTAGACTTTTATTAGCTTATGTATGTTCTATGAATTTTCAGTTTTTCCAAATGGACGTCAAAACTGCATTCTTGAATGGATTCATAAATGAGGAAGTTTATAACAAGCAACCCCCTGGTTTTGAAGATCACAAATATCCTTCTCATGTCTTCAAATTAAAGAAAGCTCTCTATGGATTGAAACAAGCACCAAGGGTATGGTACGAACGCCTCAACAACTTCTTATGTGACAAAGGCTTTGAAAAAAGAAAGGTATACAAGACTTTGTTTATCAAGAAAATTAAAGAAGATACTCTCTTGGTACAAGTGTATGTTGATGACATGATCTTCGGTTCAACCAACACAAAGTTATGTGAAGAATTCTCATCCATGATGCAAGGAGAATTTGAAATGTCTATGATGGGAAAAATGAACTACTTTCTTGGACTTCAGATCAAGCATCTCAAAAATGGGATCTTTATCAATCAATCCAAATACTGCAAAGAACTATTGAAGAAGTTTGATATGGACAATTACAAGACTTTGTCTACACCTATGGGATCCGATACATATATAGATCAAGATGAATCCGGTGTGTCAGTTGATATCACAAAATATAGAGGTATGATTGGTTCCTTACTATACTTGACAACAAGTCGCCCTGATATTATGTTTAATATTTGTCTATGCGTTCGCTTTCAAACAAATCCAAAGGAATCTCACTTCATGGCAATCAAGCGGATCATGAAATATCTCAAAGGAACAACAAATGTCAGCTTATGGTACCCTAAAGGTAGTATTTGTAATTTAATTGGATACTCTGACGCGGATTATGCAGGTTGTAAAACAAATATAAAAAGCACAAGTGAAATATGTCACATCTTGGAAAATGCACTAGTCTCGTGGGCATGCAAGAAGTAAGCATGCGTAGCACTAAGTACGACTTGAGCAGAATACATAGCAGCGGGTAGTTGTTGTGCACAAATACTTTGGATCAAGCAACAAATTCGTGACTACGGACTCGACCTTGGTAGCATTCCTCTTTGTTGTGACAACACAAGTGCAATCAACATAACAAATAATTCATTCATGCATTCAAGAACCAAGCACATCGACATACGACATCACTTTTTGCGAGATCATGTACTTCAAGGAGATGTCGAGATAACCTTCATGGATACTCATAATCAGCTTGCCGATATATTCACAAATCCTTTAGCAAAGGAACCTTTCTTCAAAGTTCGAAGAGAACTTGGAATGTTGGATGAAACTGACGTTGAATCATGAAAGAACTTCATCTAT